TCTTGATTACTATTTGTGCAATAAAGTACGTTCATAATTATGTGCTGTTATCTTTACGTTTAAAGTACATTTACATAGTCATAACATTAATTCTTAGTAATCCCTGAAATACAATTATTTTCAGGATAATTACTTCATTTTAAAATCATACATCTGTTAAGTTTTAAATGATTTTCGCTGGTTTGCACTAATGAGTATGTTAATGGCTCACTAAACGGTTACAAATGACTTTCCATATTTGACTATTTTGTGGTCACTAATTATACCCGATAACCAGAAACGTTTTACAGTTGTTTACAATATTGTTCTTTAAAGTTCGCTAATATGATATATTTTCTTTACATAGTTTAACAAACATTGCTTTCAGAGATAGTATGTTCTTCAATGAGATGTTGGAAAACATTCGTAGCTCAATTGGATGATTTAGGTGGAATTTTATTCTCTAAGCTGAATGATTTGGTCACGGAGGTTTCATTGTTCTTTTGAACAACATCATTAACACTTCTACCTGAAGTTTGTACTGATGATGATGTTTTGCAGAAGAACAATGAAAACTAAATGATCAAATCATACAGCTCAGAGATTAAAACTCTACGTATAACCTTCCATATTACAGTTCAACATTTATTACTTTGTATTCTAAAGTTATATATTTTTCAGACTATTGGTTTAAATTATGTCAAATTATGATATCAAAATTTAGTAGTTCTCGACAGTCCTAGAAATACTTAAAAATTCAAATTATTTTATCAATTTCTATGATTCATGAAGGTTGGGATTTTTCAGTGTCATGGAAATCTTTACACAAACATAGATTCTTTAAAAAAAAGATACAGACGTCTTATCTTATTAGAATGCAAATTATTTCCTGATGTAGTGTCGAATGGTAGTTTAAATTTAGTCTACATTTTTCTATAAAACTAATGTTAATTAAGTTTAAACAAACTACATTAATTATCTTATTGTTTATGTCAATGTTTTGAAAAAAAGCACCATATAGTGTCATTATAATTGACTATATTTAAAGCTTAAAACTCATTCTATTCATTTCATAATTAACCTACAAATAGGTCGCTTTTATTTTGTTCGTGTTTTAACAACACCAAGAAGGATGAACTGAATAATGGGCAATAACATAAACAAATGATAACTATAATAATAAGGATGTTCGTTTTTTCTCTTTATATATATATATATATATATATATATATATATATATATATATATATATATATATATATATATATATATATATATATATATATATGAATTCACTTTATTCAACGTTAAAAGAATAGTGTAAATACATCATTATGATCCTCTTCAACTAATATATTAAGATTAAATTGAGGATAATGGGAATCTTCAATATTTGAAATAATTAATGAATTGATATATTTATATCTTTTCTGGCGTCAAACATTTTGACTATTTTGTACTTTATGTTTGTTTCTTTTTTTGTTTTGTTTCTATTTTCCTCTTTTTTCAATTTCTTCTGTATATAATATCTATTTTGGTGTAAAAAATGAATTGTTTAACCAAAAACTGGTTCAAAACAAGTATTTACAGTGAAATTTACAATTAACGTCAGTAGAGTGATGTGTACTACTTATATTGACATAAGTAGTATATGATGTTACTCGTGAACAGAAGGTCTGAAAGCAGAGAAACAAGAGGATCGAATAGCAAAAAATGGAAACAAGATGCAATTTATATGAAAATGCAAGAACAATGAAGTCTGAGTCATTTTGAAGACAATTGGTGGACATTATGCAAATTAAGCCTTTACTTTATGATTGTTAGATTTTATTATCAAGTCCTCTAATTTTGTGTCAAATACATTCGATTGTCCCCATCCGTGTTCTTGTTCACTACAGTAGTACAGTGTTAATGATTCAATAAATTATACAACTTATTATTAGAATGTGGAATTTCAATTGAAAAGTATTTGGAAAATAGGAATATTCTAATGAATCATTGTGTCATATGATACATAGGATCATAAATTATTTTTATTAAAAGAAATAAATAACACAACATCAAACGTTTTATATATCAAAGTAGGATGAAACGAGTTTTTAAATAATATTTATCGTATCACAAATAAATATTAATATCAGAAGGGGTTTAGTGGAGATTGTAGTAATTTCAACAGTGACTGGCTTCAAGAGGTATATCCTGGAGTTCTATTGAGAAGCAGTAATCAGTGGAATTCAATCGGGTCAGTTGTGAAGTAGTAACTCACTGATGACAATGGTGGATGTGTTACTCAATTTTGTGGATTAGTTGAAGTTAGACATTAACACCGTTGGATGCCAGCTCAGTGATCTAGTTGGTTAAGCGCCTGGCGCGAGACCGATGGGTTCTTGGTTCGAATCCCGCAAGGTGGGGTCGTGGATGCGCACTGCTGAGGAGTCCCACAATAGGACGAAACGGCCGTCCAATGTTTCTAGGTTTTCCATGGTGATCTAGCTTCAATTGACTCATGATCTCAACTGTTGAGAATATTAATATTTTCACAGTTGAAATCATGAATCGGTCTAAGCTAAACTATTATTGAAGGCCTCCAAGCAGTGGATAGGCGTTTTGTTCTAGTGTGAGACTTTTTAGCAGTGCGGATCTACAGTCCTGCATTTGGAAATCCAACACAAGATCTTTGATCTTGCACGCGAACCCCTGAACTATAGACCACTAAGCTCGCATTCAGTGGTGTTATTGTCTAACTTCAATCAATTCACAATATTGCGCAATCCTTTATCTATTGTGTGAGGGGATAACTATCTGACATTTGACACGGATTGGACTACACTGGTCAATGCTGCTCACTACAACTGTAGAAGTAATATCTTGAAGCTAGTTACTGCTGATAAAATATTAATATATCAACCGGTAATGAAGACTATTTTAAAAAATTACAATTTTTTTCAAACTGAACGATTTTTAATTCACTTGATATTGTTTTACTTGAATCTTCCCATTGATGTTTTAGGACTGAAATTGATCAGTCTCTTATTGGCATATGTGCATACTGTGCGTATGCCTTGATATTGCCTTAATTTACAAGCATTATAAGCAAAGATGGATAGTGGCGTTTGAAGCGAACGGTACTGAGTTCGAGTCCCAGAGTGAACATCAACTCTGAGATGCAGGTACATCCAGCTGGCGAGTCCCAAACAGGACGAAACGCGCGTCCTGGATTCCACTGCTAGCCACTATCCATCTTTGCTTATGAACGATTTTTAGTTACGAAACTCCTGTTAACAATCTGAACAACATATTTGGTAATTTCAGTAGTTGAGATCACGTGTCAATTGAAGCTAGATCATCATGGAAAACCTGGAAGCACTGGACGGTCACTTCGTCCCAGTATGGAACTCCTCAGTAGTGTGCATCCACGATCCCAACTCGCAAGATTCGAATCCAAGATATATTTAGTGTTTAATTTTAACAAAAATAAGTTATTTTTGAGTTAAAATAACTTTCAAAAATTCACTTTCATTTATGATAATGGTAGTTAATTTATTTCAGCATGATCATCCATAGTTCACAATTTAATTGTTCAACTTAGTAAAGATTACATCATTCATGTGAACATTTTGTTGGAAATTTAAATTCTCATCATCCTTTTAATGATTGTAACCTTAACGGATTTACTCATCATATTCTATAAATAAAACTTTCAGTCATGAAGAATAACAATAATAATATGATGCATAAAATATTTGGTGCATAAACATTATCAAGTTGCTGGACAATATGAACAATCTTAAATCTTTGATATTTCACTGTTGTTGTTTTTTTTTCTATCAATTATTTGCAACCAATTGACTAAGAAAGCAAATAAACCTTTGTTGATGAGTTTCAAATAACAAAAAAAAACTTGCTATTTGATTCTTTATAACGTATTCAAATTATCTAGCGTCAAATAATGGACACTATAATATACATTTTAAAACATAAAATACAGAATAATGATCAGTTTTTAAATTGTATAATAGTAAAATAGTAAAATCTTAAAGCTATTAGGGATGGTTAAATCACAATTAGAAATATCAATTGAGAAAGTGATTTACTTATATGTTAAACTAAGTAGTTAATAATTGGATTATAATAGAATGGTTTTATTCACTTAAAATTCTTTAGTTAGTTGTACTTTTATGTCAGTATGAGTTTTGTCAATAGTAATTAGATTGACTAATAAATCATTTTCTGTTTGATCAATTAGTTACCATCAACTTGTTGAATAATTAGAAGTGAGAAATGTGAATGTTTCATTAATAGATACAATCGATAGAGTGTAATTAACAGGTAGATTTAAACAATGAGAAATTAAAATAATTGGATTGGTTGAAGATGGACATTTACACCATTAGAAGCCGGCTCAGTGGTCTAGAGGTTAAACGTTGGCACGCGAGATCGATGTGTCCTGGGTTCGAACCTCGCGATACGGTATTGTGGATGCACATTCCTCAGTATAGGACGAAACGACCGTCCAGTGCTTTCAGGTTTTCCATGATGGTCTAGCTTTAATTGACTCATGATCTCAACTATTAAAATACTAAAATCTCCACAAAATCTTTTTTCATAATCACCAACATCATCATCGTATGCTCATTAGTGAATGGCTTCAAGAGGTATTTCCTGAAGTTCTAGTCAGAAGCATTGACCAGTGGAGTTCAACCAGTTCTGATATGAGATGGTAACTGACTGAAGACAATGGTGGACGGTGACTCAAGTTGGGCGATTGGCTGAAGTTAGACACTAACACGGTTGAATGACTGCCAGATCAGTGATCTAGAGGTTAAGTGTCAGCACGCGAAATCAATAGATCCTGAGTTCGAATCCGTGTGTAGGATCGTGGATACGTATTGCTGAGGAGTCCTATACTAGTCATTCAGTAATTCCAGGTTTTCCATGGTGATTTAACTTTAATTAACTCATGAATTTAACTATTAAATTAAAATAATACTTTAATTATTCAAAACAAATATAAGGCATACCTGAAATAATAAGATTATGAATTTTACTCGATATATTATCCGAATAACACATCCAACGTCCATTGAAACTATTATTTACTTGATGAATTGTATATCGAAAAATATCTATTTGACTATATGGAAACTCATTATATCCATTTATTTCATTATTATTATTATGATTGTTTATACTTTCTTGATAAAATGATAAATAATTACAATTAATATCATATAAATTAGTTTTCTTATTGATTGATGCACAATTAGAGTAATATAATTGATTTAAATGTATATTTACAGTTTGTTGTTGTATAGGCTTTTGAATAAGATGGAGTAGTTCATTTTGGAACTTATGCTTTATATTAAATACAATACAATCTATGGTAATCATAGAACCGGTTTTAATATAATGATATCGTTCCGATGAATCTTGTTTATTGATTATTGATTGAATAATATTCGAAAGAAACTGATGAATAGGTAGATTATGGTTGTCTGATTTCAAATCTAATAAAACAATTGTATGATTTTGTTTACCGGGAAGCGTACCTGTGAACAAACAAAAAAAAACAATATACCGGGCTTATAAGTCGAGATATAAAGAAATAAATTGAATTGGTTATTATATTGTAGTGAACGAGAGCACAAATGGAAACAATCGGATGTATGTCAACACAAAATTACAGAACATCTTAGTAAAATCTGAAAATCATACAGTAAATAATTCATTTGGAAAATATCAGTCGATCGTCTCAGATTTTGTAGTTTCTTCGTTACCACAGTAATCATTCTCTTTTCTTCGATCTTAACCTTCTACCACCAGGCATTTCACTTTCGATTGATGATACATATTACTTATATCTGTCAACATCAGTAGCATACACCATAATATTATATGAAATAAAACTGCATAATTTTACAATATTCAGTAATCCGATATAATTGTACACTTTTGTTAGTTTATTTACTATACACAACATCTGTAGATTAATTACATGTTATTAAATAGGAATGTTCTTCTTGTTATGTGACTTATCAGGAATGATACCCTGTTTCACGAATACTTAATTATGACTGAATAAATATCTACTTCAAGTGGTAATACCGATAACAGACATTTGTGATCTGATTCACAGTGATATAATGAAGTTTCACAAAAATCACTATTCATCTAACACATTGAAATACTTAGCGAAACAGTTGTAAGTGAACGCTTTAATTCAAATCTTTATTTACCCGATCATGAAATAATTTTGTGTTTTATATATATATATTGGTTATTGAGTAGTGACCATCATATTTGTCTAGTGCTATAGTATCGATCTAAATGGCTCGAGATCGGGTGCAGTGTTTTGCGATGTTACTTGGTTGAAGATATTAGACGGTGCAAGTTTGAATCCATCAGAAACTTTCAGTTCCCTCATAGTCACGTATGTGCCTTGGTGACGCGTGCCAAATAGCATGAGTTATGTGTCAACAGTTTCCCATCTACTACCTCTGTTCACGTAACACACACGTTATCAAGCGATCTGGTTACGTAATGTTTTATGCTAATAACAGGAGGGTTTCTATTCAGTTGACTACTTCAACAACGAAGAAAAATAATAAATCTAGTAAAAATTAAAATCATAAACGACTATTGATTGTGATAGATTAGAAACTTTTATATGGGATATATACAACAAACAGAACTTAAAATACGATCACTAACTGATGAAACCGACCGCACAAACTGTTTTTCTGCGTACTTTAGTGATATATATATATATATATATATATATATATATATTCAAACATGATAGGAATGTTTAAGGAGCATCATGTTCTTCTTGAACTATCAGGTAGATTAGTAATTTCTATTCACGAATAGCAATTAACTGTGAGTACTTTACTGGTCCCTTAAAACTTTATATTAAAAATCAATGGACTTCTTTCTATCTATTTCTTAACAGCAACCTAGGGTTTGGGCACCTTTTAATTATATTAAGCATGCGGAGAAAATTAATATTCAATAGAATTTTTCGGAAAGAAAGCAACTACTAAGTACGGCATCATTAAAATTCTGATCATACATATTTTCTTCAGCACAATCATTTTAAGCTGTTATTACTTTCGTTAAAATATAATTGTCTTTTAGACTTAATTCGTCATTAGTAAGATATGTTCTTTTGTTCTACGGTCCTAAATAGTACAGAGAATCCTAGTTTCACTTCGATTGTAGATACCGAAACTGAAAGGAGGGAACAGTCGAGTTCTTTTTATTTCAATCTATTCATAAATAATGAAAGAAATCTATTAAATCTTTAAATCTTTTTTCAATTAAGCATATGTTAATAAAGAGAATTTGTATAACCCAGTTATAGAACGAATTGCGTGTGAGACATATGTTTTTAATTTTTTTTCTTTCGCACAAACTAATTAAAGTTACCACAGAGTATATTTGTTTACATTTTGTGCTAAATTAAGAACAATAATAATGGTTAATAATTAAATCAAATCAAACCTAGTGATAAACCAGTGTTTTTCGTTCAAACGGATTTAAATATAACACGAAAAAGTTATAGAAGGAAAACTTAACTATTTAAAAAGAAGTGTATTTTCATCCTATTTATCCCAAGTTAGAAAAATAATAAATATTATTATGATTTTTAGTGGCCCGTGGATCTGACTCCATGTAGATTGTATTGATGATTGTTGTTGAAATATATATGTCACCTATCCTCGTATATAATCATCGACTGTAATCGCGTTAGTCAATAACGGAATTATTTAAGTCGAATAACGAGAATGGACTTGTGAATACATACACTATATATATGAAGCGAATAAAACAGAGCAAAGTAAAACAACGCGCAATAGAGATGGCTGGTAAGCCAACTCGTATTTAGCCAGACTTTACTCAATATTTATAGGCAGACAAAATAAACTACAGACATGTGATGAGATATGGGATATGAAGTGTACACACATATACGCTCATATAAAAACAGTCAAGACTGATAAGCGAATAATTAACAAGGTCAAAATATGACTCAAGTAGAATGAATAGAATGGGATGTCCGAAAGCTAGAATAAGGTACATGAGCTTAACATAATAACTGACACCACAGATTAAAGGATTCCCCAACATTTACGTATCTATCAGAATGGGGTTTATGGAAATTTTAATCATTTAATAGCTGAATTCATGAATCAAATAAAGATAGACCACCTTGGAAAACCTGGAAGCACTGGACGGCCGTTTATTCTTAGTATGTGACTCCTCAATGTGAAATGTGCATACACGATCCCTCCCGCAGGATTCAAACCCAGGGCCTATCCTTCCTGTGAGCGGGATCGTGGATGCGCAGTACTGGAGTTCCATACTAGTATAAAAAGGCCATTCAGTGCTTCTAAGTTTTCCATGGTGATCTAGCTTTAAGTGACTCATGAATTCAACTATTAAATTTACGTATTTATTAAAAAAATCTATCGATATTTGTTGATACAGTGAGATCTTTTCATCATTGAATATTTTGTACATGCACATATACATGAATATATTAATGATAATCATAATGACATTTAAAAATAAATTTGTTCCACATTTTATTGAATATAGTTATGAACTCTTTATTTGATTCAGTCATACTTTGTATATTTATCTTAGGCTAAGAAAAATGACAAATGTAAACCATGGAGTAAAACAAACTTTCCTTCTATAAAAAAAGATCACTAAATTACAGTTATTCAACGTTTATACATATACTTTAGCCTTTATATATATTGTTTGTTCAGTAGTTTCTATAAAAGGTATTGGCTATTAGTCAACGAAACGAATCCGGTTGATAAGATTACTCTTTCTTTTTGCTGTTTTAAAGTTACCGAGAAATTCTACAATTAAAGAAATTGCAAAATCTTTGAAACCGTATTCTTTATTTTATATGAATACCTTTGAAATATATAAAATGTATTCAAAAATTACATGAATTTTTGATTAATGAAGTCTTATGAAAGTTAATGTCTACAATGAATAGTTGAAGCCAAAACAAGAAGAAAAAAGAAAAAAAGGAACCATAAAATGTAAATTTTTTTTAAAAAAAAAGAAAGAAGATACTAATACTACTTTCTCAATCCAGGTAACTAAGTGGTTTATACATTTATTCATGCTTATAATAAAGAAGACCTATTATGAGAGCTTAGTTTAAAATTAACTGATCAATAAAACTTGATTCGTTGCTTAAATACTAAGATAAATGATATTTCTAAGCAAAAATGGATAGTGACTAGCAGTGGAATCTATCATATCTATCTTTGTCTAACAAGTTTGTGACTTAAGGCTATATCAAGGCAATCTGTACAGGATGAATATATGCCAACAAGAAACTGATCAATTGTGGATTACCTCAATATTTCCTTAAGTCACAAGATTAATAAGCAAAGATGGATAGTGGTTAGCAGTGGAATTCAGGACGCGCATTTTGTCTTATTTGGGACTCGTCAGCTGGATGTACCTGCATCACAGAGTTGATTTTCATTCCAGGACTCATCAACTCTGACGTATCCCAAATAGAATGAAAAGCGCGGCTTGGATTTTACTGCTAGCGACTATACATTTTTGCTTAAAAAGTGTTTTAGCTAAAAATATTCCATTTACTTTTCATTTTATAATTCGAACTTAACGTATGTCGGTTTTTGAATTGTATTAATTTTTAGGAAAGATAATAGAATAATTGTAATTATATAAAGAATACTGTAGTGTATCGTTTGAATAAAAACAATTATACACGTATCAATGAATTTGAAATTTATTCTCATGATTGCATGTAACATATATATATACATAGATCATCGAATCTTAACTCAGTAGTTTCAAAGTATCGTGACATGTTTGATAGAGTTATAGTTGCATTTTACCAAATATCTTGAAAATGAGACAAAACATCTGCTTACTCTTCCAAGATTTCCTGTACTCCTGTGTCTAACGACAGCTAATGATAAAGATTACTTTAAATAGTTATATCTGATTAGAAAGAGGTATCTGTATGGTACGTTAAATAGGATTTTTAACAATATATTATACGATTCAGTACTAATTGAGTCTTGGACAGTTTTATAGTGAGCTTCATAAGGTTCATCGATTTATACTCGGAAGGTTACGATATTGACGGACCTATATTACAAGCCTGTAAAGGTTTAAAGTGATTAGCTCTTGGCTCAATTATTTTCTGCTTCAAGATAAAATATGTTTTAAAAAATCAACTATATCATGAATTGAATTTAAAAAATAGTGTTTTAACTACTCTTTAAAAAGCTAATAACTTTTATTTTCTTTTATTAAGATGTATATAAAGAAACAAAGTCTTCTATCAAATTATCGAATTGTTTCAATAATTGTATTGTTTATTTGAACCTTTCCATTGATATTTAGGACCACAATGGATCTGTCTCTCATGAGCATATATACATCTTGTGTGGATTACCTAGATATTGCCTCAAATCTTAAGCATTATATACAAAGATGGATAGTATCTATCAGTGGAATTCAGGATTCATGTTTCATCTTATTAGGGAATTGTACATCTAGTTGACGAGTCCAAAATACGACGGATAGCCATCATCCATCTTGGTTTCAATCATATTGAGTTTATCATCAGTTTAGGGGTTGTGGAGATCATTATGTTGTTGTTTTTTATTTAGATCATAAACCGATTGGTGTTAGACTACTGCACTGTTGAGGAGTCCGAAAATAAGACGAAATCGCCATTCAGTGCTTCCAGGTTTCCAACGGTGGTCTAATATCAATCCGTTCATGATCTCGATCAAAAAGAAATATTGAGTTTCTTAGGAAAAATAGCTCTTTCTAATTTTTTTGGTTGAAATCATAATTCAATTGAAGTTAGATCATCATGGAAGACCTGGAAGCACTGGACAGCCTTTTCGTCCTAGTATGGAACTCATCAGCAGTGAGCATCCATGATCCCACCTTCCGCGAAATCCGAACCCAACCCTTATCAGTCCATTAGACAAGACAATGTTATTGGAATACTGAAATTAAAACTTTTTTTAAAAAAAAGTAAATAAAACCATCACCTACTAATAACAAGCTGAAGTGTTGTTTATAGGGTCATCAATTAATTAAATTCTGTTGATATACAATTAGCAATCATGTATTACAATTAATATAAATTGAATAAAATAGAAATACATTAATTACATCATCAATGAATGTAATAATTAATTAATCATTAGAAAGATAACTTACTATGTACAATAGAATTAGTAACCAAGATGAATATTATTAAAATTACAATTACACAGCTGCGAAACATCTGTCCTTCAGTATAATCTGTCAATCAATTAGTTAGCCTAATTTTTTTTCTTCAATTTTAGTTCAATGTTTAATTGTTTGTTTGTTTGTTTGTTTTGTTTTTTTAATCTTTGATTGTCCCACTTTATTTTCTCCTTCTTGATTTGTATGTAATTTTCTTGTATTTAAGAGTAACTTGTTGTTATTGTTATAAATATAGTTATCGAATGTTTGTTCTTTTTACAACTAGTTTACTGGATAATTGGCATAAAACTGTTTTGTTTGGCACTAAAACAATAAAAAAATATAACAATTAGGTAATAAAATGGATTAATTAATACTTGCCTTAATGATCTATAGATTAGAATATTTAAAAATAATATAAAATACTGAGCAATGGATCATGTATTTTTGTTATTTTGGATGAACACTGATGAGTAGTATTACATTAGGATGAAACGGCCGACCAGTGCTTCCAGGTTTTTTACGGTAGTCTAGCTTCAATCAACTCATGATCTTAACTATTAAAATTAGTAAAATCTCCACAAAACCTGTTCTGATATTAGTCAACACATGCTCACTAGTGACTGGTTTCAAGAAGTATTTCGTGGAGTTCTAGTGAGAAACAGGGATCAGTGGAGTTCAACCAGGTCTGATGTGAGATAATAACTCACTGAAGAAAATGGTGGATGTGTCGCTCAATTTCATGGATTAGTTGAAGTTAGGAATTAACACCTTTGGATGACAGCTCATTGGTCTAGTGATTAAGGGCTCGCGCGCGAGACTGATAAGCCCTGGGTTTGAATCTCGCGGGGGTCGGGGTCGTGGATGTACACTGCTGAGGAGTCCCACAATACGATGAAACAGCTGTCGAGTGTTTCTAGGTCTTCCACGGTGGTCTAGCTTTCATTGACTCATGATTTCAACTATTGAAATAAATTAACTGTTTCTAGCAATGGTTACAAATGAAATTTATTTTAAATTACTCAAATTATTGGTGTAATCCACTTTTAAAATATGCTGTTTCTGATTATAATTCTTATGAGTGACTGAAGTTTATTTAGATTGAAACATCTAAAAACTAACTATTCATTCACTAAGTCTGTTTCTAAGAATTGACGTTCAGATCAAACGATAATTTATATGAAGAGTCCGTCAAGGTCCAGTTGAAAATGATAATAAATTAGCTATCATACAGTTATAATATAATATAAAATGAAGGAACAGTGAAGTCTGTGACAATTGATTGACATTTTGCAAATGAAGTATTTACTATATGGTTGTCTGATTTTATTAAAACATTCTGTAATTTTGTTTTGAAATACATTCGATTGTCTCTACTTGTGTTCCCGTTCACTATAATGATACTAAACGTATTAGCTAATTTCAGTTTTGTACCATAAACTACTTTAGAAATATTTTTTTCACATCATCATATAATAGAAAATAAATTTATATATGGATAGTGGCTAGCGGTGGAATCCAGTATACGCGTTTCATCCTATTTGGGACTCGTCAGTTGGATTTACCTGCATCCCAGAGTTGATGTTCACTTCGGGATTCAAACCCAGTATCGTTTGCTTCAAACACTATCGCGTGATCCACTTAGCCACTAAGTTCCACACAATTGGAAGATTAAAATGAATTGATTTTTTTTATTTTAGTATTTATTGGTTTGACAGCAGTGTTTTTGTTTGGGACAAATAAAACAATTAAGAACAGTAGGTATATTTTTGTTAATCATATTGAAAATGAAATTCGAAACAAAACAATAATTTAAATGAGTGAGGCACAGGAAACGACTGTATTCATAATGGTTGAGACTCAAGTATAAATTTATAAATGAGAGGTGATGAATTGACTAACGTCATAATTCTTAAAAGCAATAAGTGATTATATATTTTAAGGACACATTTAGGATAAAGATAACTCAATGAGTAACAGCTCGTGATTATACGAAATCAGATTATGTAGTATACAAAACAAATAAAAATAAGCAGTTTTCAAGAGTAACAATTAGGGTAACTTATCAATTTTTCTGTTTATTTTGTACTTCAGTACTACTGTGGTGTATGCAACTTATGTTGACAGATATAAGTAGAATGTAACATCAATCAGAAGTGGAATGTATAGCAGTATAAGATTGAAATTGAATTGAAGACAACATAATTGTAAACAGAAAGAGTTTGTAATAACAACAGGAATGAAAGAACGATAATTTTTATAAGAGACAACTGATGGAAGATGTACAAATGATGTGTTTAATGCATGGTTTTGATATTTTACAAAGACACTGTAATTTTGCATTAGGAATAACTTGGTTATCTCCCCTAAGTCGCATTCACTACACTACTATACCATAAACACCCCAAAATTCTCACCAGTCGCAATATAACAGGTAAGTGGAGATTGTTGAATTTCTATAATTAACATCACCAACCGACCTTACTAAGATAATCACTAAAAACCAGGAAGCACAGAATAGCTCTTTTTTGTCTATATAAGTTCCGTTCATGCTCAGAAGAAATAGTTATCTGGATCTTTCTAATTTTCAGTGATTGTCTATTGAAAGATACTTACTACAACAGAAATTACTAAACCACGGTATTTAAAAGTAAAAACAATTATTCCACTTATTCATTGAATAAAAATTAAAGAGCGCGGAAATTAATTTGACATTAATTTTAGTGTTGAATAAGACATAAGATCTTATATATTTACTAGTTGTAAAATATCTTGCCAAATATGACTATTTTTGAATCATTTTTAAATTTAATTGTTGAATTCATGAGTCAATTAAAGATAGACCATCTTGGTAAACCTGAAAGCACTGGACAGCCGTTTTGTCTTAGTATGGGACTCATCAGCGTTACGCATCTACAATTTTTAAAAATTCTTCGCACTGTCAGGCAATAAATAATTATTGTTTATTTCGTTTGAATTCATTTTAGTAAACATTTATCATTCGTTTTATGATTTTACCTTAACTTGTTCTAGTAAAGTAAATAACTCATAATTTCATTCTTGAATAAGTATATAACAGAATTTCACTGGTTGAAATCATGAGTCAATTGAAGTTAGACCACTATGGAAAACCGCCAATTGCTTCCAGGTTTTCCATGGTGGTCTAGCTTCAACCAGTGAAATTTCTAGAAAATCTCCACAAAACCCCTTCTGATATAACAGAATTAACCTGAAACTCTATACTTATTCTTATAACAAATCAAAAATCCTAGAACTGTTTCATTAACTTCCAATGATCATGAATGCATATAATAATATTGTATTCTATTATTTTAATAGAAAAAGATAAGTCATACGAAGAAAAGTATAGAAAATAGGCCTTCAATTTGACTTGATATATTATAAACGGTAATATAGTTCATACTTTAGCTGATAAAATTATATTTTTATGCATAGCCTCAAGAGAAACCGTTATTTTCAGAATGATAATATAGTAGTTCATTAGTATTTATTGTTTGACTAATTGATCAGTCTCTCTTTTCAGGCATACGTGTATCTTATGCGGATTGCATTGATATTATCTTAAGTCACAAATATTATAAGCAGAGATGGATGGTGGGTAGCAATGGAATCGAAAACGGAAACTTATTGGCATTTAGGACTCTTCATCTGGATGTAGTTGCATCCGAGTTGATGTTCACTTTGATATTTAAACCCAGTATCGTTTACCTCAAATCCGAGATCAATTTCAGTCCTAAAGATTCAAATTCAAATATCCAAAACAATTGAGTCAAGCTTCATCCTATTGCTTAAGCCAGTAGCTTACTGAACTCAGCAGCTAAACGAATAACACGATAAAGTTTGAAGCCAAAGATGTTTGGTTCGAGTTCCAAAGTGAAAACCAACTCAGATACTGGAACATTCTGCTGATGAGTCTCAAGTAGAACGAAATCTGCGCTCCTGATTTAAATGCTGATCATCATTCATCTCTGCTTATAATGATAACACTTTGGTTACTCTGGTTGCTGGTCAGTTACGAAAAAAGTATTTACTTGGCAACTAATTATTAAATAACAGATACTTGAATCAAAAAAAGCTATTCTGTTTAACCGTTATGTTCATTTTAGCTTCCTTATTTAGCAAATAATTTATTGAATGAAAAGCAGATGGTTAACTGAACTAATCATAAACCATTTCCAAAATATTTACACTTTCAAATAAATTGATCAGATGTTGGGTGTAATGATTATTAACTAAAACTTACCATTAAGAACTGTTTCTTTATGTGTGGGTTATACAGACGAAAAGTTAGATCTTACGTTATATATAGATCATATTTTGATTAAACTTAATTAAAACTCTACCATAAATGAAAGTTCTAAGAAAGGAAAGATCATTCAATCTTACACTGTGTAGTATTTTATAAGTGAATCCATGTCTAGTCAAGTTACTAATCTCAGATTAAACAAAATTATGCTCTATCAAAAATTAACGGAGTTCGAAAGTGCTGATCAATAAAATCAATTATCAGTAATTTAAATAGTTACTAAAGTTTTATTTTGGTTGATCAAATGGTTATATCGAAGATTCATTATCTAGAGTGTTCTAAAGAATTTCGTATTTCTCACGCGTAGACCAATAAAATGAAGTTATTATCTTATTTGATCAGCATACTGAAACGTTACTAACTCTGTAACTTTTTATAAACCACCTACAACCGCTGCCCTGAAAACTGTTAATGTGAACTTTGGTGAATCGGCACGAAGCAAAATATATACATGTAAAAAGTAACTGGAAGTACACTTGATGTCAGAAACCATGGCTAAAGTGATATAAGGTGGTTTTTCAGTTTAATAAGCTGCTTGGGAGCGATAAAAAATTTGTCAATAGTCATTGGGTCAGATGTTTGTCTAATAATAATTTCCAACAGCTCGTCGAAAATGAATTAGACATCTACTAATGCTTCCTTATTATCCGTAGCCTAACGACCAAACTTAGCAATTTGTCGATACTTTAAAGCAAGCTCTTCTACGGGCAGACAGTAATGGTATGCTATTC